ATAATTTAATGAATACTTTTTAAGACAAAAAAAATTGTGAGAATTTGTTAAACAACAATAGCTAATTAGTTGTTTTTGCTAGAGGAGCACCCTCTACTGTGAGGGCGTCTAGTGTATTCTGGCCCTGGAAACCACAGTTACATGCTGTGAAAGCTAGAAGCCATGTAAACTGGAAAAAAAAGAGTTTTTTGAGATATCATATTGTGTCCCTCAAGCCAGTCTTCCTCACTGAATCTAAATTTCCTCAAATAGTATTGTTTGTCACTATAACTTTTAGTTTTAAAAAAGCCTTTCTTAAATATTATATTTAGGGCTAGATAGATACCTCAGTAGCTTAAGCACCTGTCTGGCAAGCACAAGGTCCTAAGTTCAATCCCCAGTACCAAAAAAAAAAAAATCATATTTAGATATTTACATTTTGTTGAATAGTGTTTCTCCATTAATTGTCTCACTAACATTCTCATGTAATAAAATCTTGTGATACCAATGAAGGACTCATAAAATGTACATCACTTAATCTGTAACATCATCATTTAATTTTCTCCTTAAATAAAATAGTAAACACCGGCTCAGGGATACACCTTGCACGTACTACATTGTTCATCTCCTCCCGTCTCTGCTTCTACCTATGTGATTGCTATCACTGCACTGTAAGAAAAGACTCCAGAATGGTCTTCCCTCTACTGCCCCACAGAAATAGCAATGCTCCTTGCTGTTTGTGACACAGTCAAACTTATGACACTATTAATTTTATTATAAAGCAGCCTAGAGATCATCTTGCCCCAACACTGGAGACCCTTTTGGAGGAGCTGATATGTTCCTCCTGAATATTTTGTTTATCTAAACTCATACTGGGACACTTTCTTTCTACTTCCTTTATTTCTTTAGCTTCCTAAGACTTAAGAAGTATTCTGTTATCTGCTTTCTTTCCCCACTCCATTGACTTGTTCTAGTCAGAACTGTCCAGGCCTTCTTGCCAAACCAGTTAACATTTGTCTGTCCCCACCCGCTGCTTCCTGCATTCCTCAGTGCAGCTGACCACGTCCACCTCACTGAAACTGTGTTCGGGGCCACTCTGTTGCTTCTCTGGTGGCTTCTGGCGGGGCTGCTGCATGGAATGTGACCTGTCCAAGTTCCCTCCTGCCTCCACTGCTAACTTCTTGAAACTCTTTATCATTTTTTAACAGATTATGCTTCTGGCTCTGTTTTGGGAGTATTGCTTTGAGTTTTGATCACTGTTCTATACACTGTTTCGCCAGCTCCTTTGAGGACCCTGATTTTCTTGCATAAATACCAGTGTTACTAAGTTTTTTCACTGTGACCTTTTGAATTTTTACTTGGGGTGGAGGAGTACTGGGAATCAAACTCGGGATCTTGTGCTTGCCAGACAGGCGCCGTGCTACTGAGCTATATCGCTGGCCCTGTGGCCATTTTAAAATCCTGTTTCCCCTAATCTTGTGGCTAATTAGGGTTTTTTCAACATCTTTGGTCATTTACTCATCTTCCTGTGTCTCTCACCCAGGCCTATGGATTTAGCTCCTAAAACCGTCTTCTCTTTCCTTTCTATTCTGCTGTTACTAATTAATTAAACCCAGTCATCATGCCTGTCTAGATTACCGCAGTGGTCCTGTAACTCATTTTCCTGACTCCTGCCTCGCCTCCTTGTCCACCCACTCACTGATGTCACCCTTCGCATGTAATCCAGCCTCCCCATGCACTGTGTGTTCTGTCTACTACATTAGTTTTCTATGGTTCCCTTGTGTTTTCAAGACAAATCTCCACACTGACAGAGCTGCCTGCTTTTCTGGCGGACCTTGTAGCCACTCATCCAGCCACCCAGTTATAGCTGTGAGTGCCTGGAGGTGCTGCTTATGTGACCAGAGTGAATCCATAGCTCTTGCTGCAGACACGTACTGTCAACATGCTATTTCATGGACCAATGATGTCTGCTTGCTTCTGCATTTATGATCAAGATTATAACACTTAGAAAATCAAAACTAGTATGCTAGCAGAGCAACTATAAGTACACCATAACATGCTTCCTTTGCGGATGCATTCTTCCAGCACTCACAGCGGCTAGAGCTGTGTTACTCGCTTTTTACCCCAAGGAACTCTTAGTTTGGAAAACTTCCTGGGACTGAGCATTCTGTTACCAATGAGGCAGGGCATCTGTGTGTTTCTGCGGCTCTGAGGATCCTACCAGGAACCCAGCCAGACTATTGTCCAGACCCCAGGGAGGATGAACTGCTGCCTGTCAGCCTGCCCGCTCTGCTTTTCCTCTTTTCCCAGGGTTTAGTGCACTCACTAGGGCGCTAGAATGTTGAACAGTCTCCTCATAAGCACTTGATCTTTGATGTATTTACTCATCCACCCCAAATAGAATTTAAAAATATAGGCACGACTCACAATGAACGTGACCACTGTTGCACTGCAAACATGTACTATTAAAAATGTGATAAAGACACACTAAATGTACAACAGTTGTATAAAATCAACAGTTGGAGATTTTGTATTATTCCTTTATCTCCTTAAACATTTATTCCCATTCCAAGTCCTGCATTCAATATCCCCCTAATATAAAATGGTTTGTATGCCTCACAGTCATACTTTTAAACAATAAAAATGTACATATTGAAATTATTTTTTTCTACTATGATAAGCATTAAGTATGAAGGACTAAGTTATACAAACATTAATTCATAACTAAATGAAAATATGTATTTGATAAATATAGAAATGCTAAAATTTTATTATAAATGCATTTCTCAATAAGACCTATGGAGTTCTTAAAATTAGTTTATGGATGAATGTTATTTATAGTTAGGAAAAACCTGGTTCCACAAAATGAGTACATGGAAGAGAGAAACTGGGCTTATTTAGATATAAGCAGAGCTAGGAAGAGTTTTGAAATAAAAATGTCGTGTAGTTATTTGAGCTTATTCTAAGGTCCTGTATTAAGAAACACAGTGATCTGTCAAAAACCTCTCTATGTGGTCTAGCTGTTTCCATTTGATTCTTTCCTTTTATTTTGCTGGGAAGTGGAACTGAAAGCCTTCCTGAGAGCTTATGAAAAGCATTACCAAAACTTATCAGTTGTTATTACTAAAGTCTGTTTCCCCCAGAGTAAACATTAGCTCAGTGAGTTCAGAAGGGATTGAGAAAGATGGAATAGTCTTCAAAACACTTGTAATAAAATGAAGCTTGATGCACAATTAAAGCTCTTCTCAAGTACTTTTGGTTTTTGTTTTCTGGGGTTTTTTTTGTCAGAGCCCAGGGCTGTAGTTAGGTTCTCCCCTGAAGGACAAACAGTGCTGCCTGGGTTCCTGCTTAGGTGGTTCTCAGCATCACACCAGGCAGCCTCTCCAGGCTTCCTGGGGCCTTCTTCTGACCTCCTGTCCCAGTGCCGATGAACCTGCAAGCACAAATGTCTCATCGAGCTCACTCCTGCACTTAATTACAAGATGCAGCTTGGAAACAGAGTCTCAGCCCCAGTGTGTCTCTTTACAACAGGTCAGAACAATGTCACATTCCCTGCTTCTCGCAAACATTCCCTTTCCTTGGCCCTCAAGGGACTTTCCGCTCTGTCTCAGTCTGAGCGAGTCATCTCCTTGCACTTTCATTCTGAGCAGGGCCTCCTCTGGAGTAATACAGCTCCCAGAGTCCCTTGCAGGGGCAATCCAGAGGGGTGTGTCCTGAATGCAGAACTGCTGGAGTGCTAGTCAGGGACGTGAATTTCACAACCACGTCTGACGGTGACAGGATTTGTTCGCTTTAGATTCCCACTTCCTGAAACCAAAGCTGCTTAGGAGAAACAGCATTTTTCAAGAAGATTTTAGCGGAATCAACTGTTTTCAGAGTCAGATTTGCTGGTCTGAATACTTTCTTCTTCTTCAAGATAAAAGTGAGTACCAGCCTTCAAGTGAATATTTGTCATAGACGTGGTCAGGCCTTGATCATACAGTAATATTTTCTCAAATTGTAGATTATGTGTGTCATCCTGTTTCTACTTCACAGTCTCGTCTACATTTTATAACTCTGGAGTTTTTTAAGAGCATTTGTGTTTCTAGACACATCTGCCACTGGGAGGAGCATGTGGGACGGAGAGGGGACAGAGGCAGGAGGGAGAGGCTGTCTATAGTAGTTATTATAAAGAGAAGAAAATGAACCATTTCTACAAGGTTTTAAAGATCAGGTCCTTGCGTCACAGAAGTTGCTAAACCTGCTAATGAACACCTAACCTCATCTGGCGCTGAATCTAGATGCCCGATTAAAGCATTAGAGAAGTTTTGGGATTACTTATTTGAACAACTAACCTTGGGATTTTTGCCCAGAGTACAGAGGCAGTGGCCTAGAAAATAAATCTTTTATGATGGTATCGGTAATTTGGGCAGGTAAACAGACAAATGAAAGCGATGCTCCCTACCCAGGAAGAACAGCCGGTGTGCTGGGTGTGGACAGCATTGTGTAGAGAGGAAGCATCCAGAAAAGTTGAATTCCTTGTATGTTTCTCTAGAAGAGGCCGCCTAGTAAGAAACTTTAGCATTTAAAATTAGGATTCTAGCTACTTTCTTCTCAACCTCTTGAAACTCTAGCCTGAAAAGAAACAAAATACTTAAAATATTCTAAAAATAACTTTTTCACTACTTTAAAGATTTTTTTTAAGGCTAGGATGAATCCTTATATTCTTCCCACAATAAGACCTCAAGATTTTATAGCATCCCTACCTACATGAGGAAGCCAAAAATTAAACTTCTCAAGAGTGTATTTAAGAATGTTGCGGCGGGGGGGGGGGGGGCAGGGAGATGGCTCAGTAGAATAAGCATTTGCCTGGCAAGTGGAAGGGCCTGAGTTCAATCCCCTGTTCTGCCAAAAGAAAAAAAAAAAAAAAAGAATGTTGCCAGGGATATACAGCTCAGCAGCATAAGTACCTGCATGGCAAGCACAAGATCCTGAGTATTAGGTATGAACCCACACAATCAACCAGACCAGGCATTCTGACTCAGGTAGAAGATTTATTGGGGCATCAAGCAGGCTGGCCACCTAGCGGATCAAGACAGCAGTGAACAAAGGGGGGGACAGGAGACTTTATAGGATCTTTTAAGGAGGGTGCTTGTGGGCTGGAACAGCTGAGGGAGAGCTAATCTTGGCAGGGCTACCTGGTCTGTGGGGGACCTTTAATGCTAACAAAGGAGAGTTTCATGGTTGCTTGCCCAGGTCAGTCAGGTGGACCTGTGCTGCATTTTTGGGTTTGGCTCTGTGTGGGGCCAAGGGGGAGAGAGTGTTGGGGGCAGGGTGCCTGGGAAACCAAGAGGGAGAGTGTTTGGGGCAAGGTGCCTGGGAAACTTGGAATCCTGACCTATCACCAAGTTCAATCCCCAGTACAAAAAAAAAAAGTCAATACATGTGTAAATTATGGATATTATAGAATCTCATGCAAAATAATGTTGTATGAGACAGACATGTTAGGCTATAATGATATCCCCTAGTAAGTGCTGTGTGATGCAGGCTTGGCTTTAGAACTGGAATTTCCCTTAAGAATAATTCTATGATTGCTTCCATTCCAAAGAATTTCACTGATCACTTTCTCCTGAGTACATGTGTTGTTTTTCTACTTCAGCAAATAATGGCTTTTGACATAAATAGTTCATTGTAAGTTATTTTCCTTCTTGAAATGTAAGTATCTATAGGTTGAATAATTATTTTAGAACTTTACATTCAAGCTGCTGGTATAAATACATTCCTTATTTTTGTTACTGTGTATTTGTATATAATATGTGAAGAAGTCGCTGTGGGCTAGCAAGGTAAGTGAGCAGACTAAGCATGTGCTTAGGCAAGCACATGGACAGGGGTTCAACCCCGGGTACCACATGCCAGCACCAGTCCTGCCCATGGGCACACTGAGCCAGCCATGGAGACAGCCCTGGGGAGGCTGAAAACAGGAGGATCACTATGAGTTGGATCTGTGTAGTGAGACCCTCTACCAAACACAAAGAGAGAAGGAGGGAGGAAGTGAGGGAAGGAGACAGAAAGAAAGAGAGATAAGGGGAGGAGAGGAGAGGGGAGGGGAGGAAAAGGAAGTGCTACTTTTGGGGCTGGGGAGTGCAAGGTTCTGATCCTAGCTACCAAAAAAAGAGGCATCACATCTGAAGAAATCTTTGTTTCTTGATATTACTAGTGTCCTATTTTTGCAAGATGTGATTTGCTTTATTTACAGAGTCTATGAGATGGACTTAATAGAATACTATTTGGTGTGATTCTTCTATGTCTAAATAACAGGTAAAATTCGTGAAATGCAAATTAAAACCACATTGAGATATCATCTCACCCCTGAAAGAATGGCTATCATAAAGAAATCAACCAACAACAAATGTTGGA